CCTACCGAGTCTAATCCTCCAGTCAGACCCAGGTTCCATCTGCCCCATTGTTCTCCCCAGCCCCGAAGCCCCCAGATTCACTCAGGGACAAGATTCTGGACAACTTAGGAAACCACCTTGAAGGGGCGGGGGGGGGGTTGGATGGGGTCTGGGAGGGAGGGGGCCCATCCATGTACTCACCGCTGCAGCGAGGCTGGGCCAGGTCAGGGCCCCACGCACTTTGGCATCGGGACCGGGGATAGTCTCCAGGCCCCACAGGGTGAAGCTGCTGAAACTGGCTGTGGCTCCAATAAAGCGGTCCTGGGGAAGGGGCCCCGGCTCAGCATCGAGGCCGCCGCTCCCACCCGCGCTCCCTTGCAACCCTGTACCCCCGTGCTCACGAAGTCGCGCTCCAGGGCCTCCGGGGGCTCCACGAGTTCCCGCTCCTCTTGCTCGTCATCCTCCAAACCCTCCGAGAAGTCCTGCTTCCCCAGCAACACCTCTCCCTTCTCTTCTGTCATCACATATCCCACGAGGCCAGGCGGCACCACCACCTCCTCGCCGCGTAGACTGCGGCCCCGGAACGACACTTCCAGTCCTGGAGGAGGCAGGCGAAGGGCCCCAGTGAGGGTCTGATCCAGGCCTACCGGAGCAAGCCCGGTAGCCGCCCTCCCGCCACCTTCGGTGGACCACGATCCCCGGGAGCCCTCGCGCCGCTCCTCGCGGAGGAGAGCGCGGCGCCGGCGCGGGGGCTGCCGGGAGCCGTAGTCCAGCCGAGAGCGCTCACCGTCGGGACCCTGGCGGATGGCCGGGGTGAAGAAGAGCCCCACGGGGGCGGGCCGGTTAACCAGAACCTCGCAGGGCAGAAGGTGCAGCAAGATGGGGGCGGGATCGCGCAGCGTAACAGGGCGCAGGTGAACGCGGCGCTTGTCGACGGCTTCCCCGTCGCTGCTTTCCATTGTCCGTCGCGACCCCGTTGCTCGCAGGCTAAGGCCAAAGCTGGCGCGTAAAGCGCGCGGAGCCTGTCGGGAGGCCTGGGGCAGTCAGCGCAGAGCCTCCTGGGAAGCGTAGGCTTCTCTGACGCTCCTCTGCAATACCGCCTGTGTTCGAGCCCCAGATTTTTTTCTTGAAAATTTTTCTCCAATAGTATATTTTTATTGTAAAAAATCAACACGATCCCTAAGAGTTCACTTTTTATATATTGACTGGTAGAGAGTGTTTTGTTTTGTGTTGTGTGTGTGTTTAACTAGGGATATCAACCCTTCCTCAAATGTGTTGAAGATACTTTACCCAAGTTTGTCTTACAAACTTCTGTATTGGTCATTTTTATTACAGAGAAGACTTTTATTTTTTGTAGTCAAATATATAAGCCTTTTCGTTTCATGTCTAGTTTTCGCAGTACTCTTTCCCTTTTGACTTCTTAACTCTTCTTTAATGTTTATTTGTCCTGATACCCAACTTAAATAGATTTTGGGAAGTACTCTCATAAAACGAACCCATACGTAACTGGTAATTAACATTAAAATTGCATTTAATTTATAGATTTGAGAAAGAGAAAAGCATCCTCGGACATCCAGGAGCTGGCCTTGGTGTTCTGTTGAACATGAACAATTTCACAGAACATAGACATCAGACAAGGTCACTCTGTGATGTGAAGGATCAAAACAAAAACAAGATCATTCTGTAATCATGTGAACACTGACAAAGACACAAATATTGTCCAACACACAAAAATAATGAAAATCCCTCTATCTTGGATAATATAAGTTTCTGTTGCTACTTTACCAATTGCAGCTTTAGCCTCCGTATAGTTAAGATCTGTTAACATATCCCATCACAGAAATACTCCCACTTGCTGACAGCATCCAATCCAGAGAAAAGTCCTACTTCTTTAAACCCTCCCTCATATCCCCAACACAAGCCCAAATCCTAGAAATCCTTCCTAATCCCTTCTTACTGAGATACCCCACACTGCAAAACTAATAACTACAGATGTGTGCCTGGTGGTCTTTGGCTGGAGGGTATTGACAGATTGAATAGAATTTTGCTTTCATTTTCTACCAAGCATAAGATACATAATACCATTTATTTATGTCTTTTATGTCTTATCCGTACGGTTGTGAGGTTTTCTTCTTTTATACATATTTTAAAGTTTATTCCTAGATAGCTTATATTGTTTCTATTACAAACAAGATCCTTTTTCTCTTTTTTTCCTTTTACATTCTGATTATTATTTATCTATAGCAGAGGTTGGTGAACCTCACATTTGTTCTCTGACACAAGTACTCAGCTTTGTCATTGTAGCCATAGAGGGCTTCCCTGGTGGCACAGTGGTTTAGAGTCTGCCTGCCAATGCCAGGGGACACGGGTTCGTGCCCCGGTCCGGGAAGATCCCACATGCCGCGGAGTGGCTGGGCCCGTGAGCCATGGCCGCCGAGCCTGTGTGTCCAGAGCCTGTGCTCCGCAGCAGGAGAGGCCACAACAGTGAGAGGCCCGCATACCGCAAAAAAAAAAAAAAAAAACAAACAAAAAAACCACATAGACAATATGTAAATAAATAAGCATGGCTGTGTTCCAATATAACTTTATTTGCAAAAACACAGTGGGCTGAAAGAAAAAAAAGTGGACTGGATTTGGCCTGTAGGCCATAGTTTTCAGAAAATCTATTGATTCTTATTTATGGCTGTACTGGGTCTTCGTTTCTGTGCGAGGGCTTTCTATAGTTGCGATGAGCGGGGGCCACTCTTCATCGCGGTGCGCGTGCCTCTCACTATCGCGGCCTCTCTTGTTGCCGAGCACAGGCTCCAGACGCGCAGGCTCAGTAATTGTGGCTCACGGGCCCAGTTGCTCCGCGGCATGTGGGATCCTCCCAGACCAGGGCTTGAACCTGTGTCCCCTGAACTGGCAGGCAGACTCTCAACCACTGCGCCACCAGGGAAGCCCTAAAAGATTTACTTTTACTTTATGTGATTATTTACATTTCCAAAATCAAACTACAAAGGAAGATCTATTTAGAGAAACCTAGTGTCTATTCCTGTTCCTTGCAAACAGTTCTCTCCTGCCCTGTGTGATCTTTTAAATATTTTAGTTCATCTTTCCATTGTTTACTCTTTTAAAGTGTAAGCATACATTTATGTATATTGAATTCAATTTCCTAATATTTTTTTGTGGAGGATTTTTGCACCTATGTTCATGAGTGATATTGATCTGTAGTTTCCTTTCTCGTGATGTCTTTATCTGGTGTTGGTATTAGGATAATGCTGGTCTCATAGAATGAATTAGGAAGTGTTCCCTCTGCTTCTATTTTCTGGAAGAGATTGTAAGAAATTGTTATTCTTTCTGAAATGTTTTTTCACAAGAAGAATTCACCAGGGAACCATCTCGGCCTGTTGCTTTTTTTTTTTTTTTTTAGGAGATTTTCACTAATTTTTGTTGTTGTTCATTTTAAGAAATTTTTTTTTCAGCTTTACTGAGGTATAACTGACAAATAAAATTGTTAAGATATTTAAAGTGTACATCATGATGATTTGATATATGTGTCACCTCACATTATCTATTATTATGTTAACAATATACAGTATTAACCATTATAACTATTAATTATTGATTCACTTCCTCGAGATAGCTCTATTCAGATTATCTATTTTCCTTTGTGTAAGTTTTGTTACTTTGTGTCGTTCAAGGAATTGGTCCATTTCATTTAAGTTATCAGATTGTGGGCATAGAATTGTTCATAATATTTATTATCCCTTTAACGTCCATGGGCTCAGTAGTGATGACCCCTCTTTTATTTCTGGTATTAATAATTTGTGCTCTCTCTTTTTTTCTTAGTTAGCCTAGCTAGAGGCTTATCAATTTTACTGATATTTTCATAGAACCAGCTTTTGGTTTCGTCGATTTTCTCTGAATTCCTCCTTTCGATTTCACTGATTTCTGCTTTAATTTTTATTTATCTTCCTCTACTTGCTGTAGGCTCATATTACTCTTCTTTCTCTAGTAACCTAAAGTAAAAGGTTAGATTATTGACTTTTATATCTTTCTTCTTTTCTAATATATTCATTTAATGCCACAAACCTCACTCCAAGTATTGCTTTCACTGAATCACACAGATTTTGACAAGTTGCATTTTCATTTGCATTTAGTTCAGGATATTTTAAAATTTCCCATGGGGCTTCTTTGACCCATGTGTTATACAGAAGTATGTTGCTTAATCTCCAAATATTTGGGAATTTTCCAGTTGTCATTCTGTCATGATTTCTACTTTAATTCCATTGTGGTCCAAAAGCAGACTCCTGTTCTTTTAAATTTGTTAAGGTGTGTTTTATGGCCCAAAATGTGGTCTGTCGCAGTGGATGTTCCACGTGCACTTGAGAACATGTATTCTTCTCTTGTTGGATACAATATTCTATAATCTTTTTTTTTTAATGAGTAACGTTCTTTATTTATTTATTGGCTGCGTTGGGTCTTTGTTGCTGCGCGGGCTTTCTCTAGTTGCGATGAGTGGGGGCTACTCTTCATTGTGGTGTGTGGGTTTCTCATCGCGGTGGCTTCTCTTGTTGCAGAACGCAGGCTTCAGCAGTTGTGGCACGTGGGCTCGGTAGTTGTGGCTCACGGGCTCTAGAGGAAGGGGCCACCAGGCCACTGCAGCCTCCTCTGTTTCTGCCCATTGGTCCCTCGTCCTATCTAGCCTGAGCTCCCTGTGCAGAGACCCTGCAAACCTCTGGAGTTGAAAAGCACTGGCTCACAGGTCAGGAGGCCCAAGTCCAGCTTCACTCTCATTCCTAAATTGCTGGGTGGCTTTGAGCAAGGCTTTTCCCTCTCTGGGAGGCAAAGATGTGGATATTTTTTCTCCTGCCTCTTGGGCAGGGATTCTAGAGAATCCTAGTATATCCGGGCAGGAAGGAACTTTCATGCCCTGCAGTCTGCGGGTTCCTAGCTTGGAAGCTTTCCTGGAGCCTCTGACCCCCATCCCACTGTGCCTTCCCCCAACCAGGGCCCAAAAGAAAACAAACCAGTGAGGATTCTTAGCAAATATAGGGGGCTTTTTGTTTTGTTTTTACAGAAAGGAGCTACGGGGCTGTATCCTGGCTCTCAGCAGCACTTCTTGGGCAAGAGCCTGCAAAGGCCGCAGTCCTGCTCCTACCTGTGCCAGCCCTGGGGCTCAGCCAGCCGCTGACAGCCCCCGGAGGTAGTCCCCCACCAGAGGCAGCACGGCCCAGTCATCAGTCCGCAGGGCCACAGGCACTCCGTCTGCCTGGGCTGCTTCCAGCCGCAGCAGCAACCGCGAGTCTGGGGGCAGACGGATGGCTATAAGGTAGCTGGTCGGGGGTTGGGCCACCACCACAAAGGGCTCCAGGTGGCGGGACACCAAGGCCTCCAGCCCATGTGGCCCTAGAGGGCACCACAAGCGACTCTCGGTGCCCTTTGGCAGGCAGGAGTGCCAGAGCTCCTCGAAGAAGCCCAGCTTGGCCCCCTCGGGGGGCTGAGGGAAAGGCAGAAAGAGGTCAGCGAAGTTCACAAGCAGGGGTGGCAGGTGAGCATGGCAGGTGAGGCCGCTGGGTGTGGTGTACAGGGCGCGCACAGCCAGCCTCGCGGGAGCCGGGCGTCGGGGCTGCAGAGGCAGCAGCAGAGGGCGGGTGGGGCGGCCGGGGCACAGGCACGGCACGTGCACAGCCCCCAAGGGTGCATAGAGCTGTCTTTCCACACGGAAGCGCAGTTCCAGAGAATACACCTGCTCCAGCACCTCCACCTGGAGCTGCAGCACTGGGACCGGGCCCTTGGCTCTGTGGGGACCCATGCTTAGCCGAATCGGGGCCGGGGCCTCCTGCACCATCAGCGCTGCAGCAAAGCCCTGGTTCTCGGCCACCAGTGAAGAGGCCAGTGCAGGTGCGGCAAGGGAGGGGCCCAGGGCCACCCCCAGCTTGGGCTCTTCCAGGTGGGCCAGGAGGATGTAGTAGAGGCGCGCGTGGTCCCGCCCATCAGGGTCCTCCAGCTGCCTGGCCAGGGCCTGCAGCAAGTCCGCCAGGCCTCCTCCAACACCTGCCCGCAGCAGGGCCCGGCAGACCTGCAGGAGGGCCTGCTGGAGGCCCCAGTCCGTGCAGCGAGCAGCTGCAGCCTGCAGGAAGCCAAGGGTGGCACTCTGGGCATCCCCATCTGCCACCCTTGCCAGCATCTGCAGGTGCCAACGAAGGGCCTCATCCCTGCCTGGCCTGGACACCACCTCCTGCCGCAAGACCACCTTTAAGGGTTCCCCCAGCTCAGGGCCCACCCGATCCAAGAGATCCACGAAATGGGGAGCCAGTGCAGGCCGGGCTCGGTACAGCTGGGCCAGTCCGTGGGTCAAGGGTGTCAGCACCACAGGTTGCCCGGCCAGGCAGCGAGCAACGAGGTAGGAGGCCTGGAAGCAGAGAGTGGCTAAGGCCCGGGGGCCACCATCCAGGGCTGCCCTCTGCCGCAGGCCAGCCAGTAGCTCCTCCAGGTACTGCCGGGGGCTCTGATCCTGGCCCTTTTCCTCCTTTTCTTCGTCTTCCACACAGAGGAGGCACAGCAGATGCAGGCGGGCCAGCAGGGCCATCGGCTCATGCAGGAGACTGGGCAGGAGGCCACGGCATAGCTGGAACCCCAGCAATAGCGGGGCAGCCTCCTCGCCTGCGGGGCCCAGCGGCCAGTTCTCAGGGAAGTTCAAGAGGCAGTGCAGGTAGAAGAGATGGGCGGGCAGGGGCAGGGCCGGGTGCTGGGCAGCCAAGGTGAGCCGGCGAAGCAGCAAGGCCTCATCCTGGGCTGTGAACAGTGCCTCACCAAAGGCCGCCTTCAGAGCCAGGACGGCGTGCAGCAGCGTCAGCTGTGCTGTGCCCAGCAGCCGTACCAGCTGTGGCTTGAAGAGCACTGGTGGCTGTCCCCGAAGACCCCGCAGGGCCCAGCCCAGCAGCCACAGAAGCTGGGCCTGGGCCACAGGAGTGAGCAGGTAGGAGATGTCCAGAAGCTGGGCCACGGCAGCCCGCAGCTCCCGGGCCTCCTCAGGACTGAGCTCCAGCGTGGCAAGGCAACACTCCCCCTCCTCAGCTGCTGGCCAACTGGGTGCCTGGGGCTGAAGGTGGGCATCACCCTCCTCAGCTAGCATCCAGTTCCAGGGACCACCCTCGGTGGGACAGCCCCCAGCCACGAGCAGGCCCTGCAGGCCAGCCCTGGCCCTGGCCTGTATCACCAAGGCGTTTCGTAGGGCAAGTGCCAGCAGCAGGCTGAGTGGCTGTACAGCGGCCTCCTGCCCCAGCAGGCCCCGAAGCAGCCCCAGACAGCCCCCCAGCAGCCCAGGCTTGCAGCTCTCCAGCTCCCGCAGGCACTCCCACGCTGTGGCCTGCAGGGGGCGCTGTTCCGAGGCAGGACCGAAGCTTCTCCCCAAATCGCGGCCCGAGGCCAAGCCCAGCAGCAGGGGCAAGAGCCGGCGGGAGGCTCTCGAGGTGGGGCCCAACGCACCTCCTGCCGCCAAGGCTGTGGTGGCCGCCAGCAGAAGGGGCCGCCGCAGAGCCGAGGGCCGCGGGGGTAGAAGGACCAGGGTATCCAACAAGGAGGTGGCGGCTACTTCGGCCGCAGGAGCGTCCGGCCACAGCTGCGCTGGGTACTCCAAGCTCAGAGCCAGCAAGGAAACCTGGGGATAGGGGATTCTGGGTGGGAATCACGAAGCTGAGGTTCACGGCACGGCAGGCTGAAGGGACCACGTGGGCCAGGACACAGGTCACGCGCAGGGCCTACCTTAGTTGGCTCGCTCAGCTTCTCACTCCTCAGGTCGCTCAGCAGGTTACGACCCAGATCCTCACCCTCAGGACCTGCCATGAAGGCGGACGGGCTGGCCCGGAAGGTGCCCAGGCGCTGGGCCCAGGTTTCCCGGCTCGTGGGTCCCATGGTCAGGCACGCAAGTCCCTGCAGAAGAGCGAGGGAGGATCAGACGTGCGGCCTGGAGACGCGCGGGGCCCCAGGGCCGCCAGAGGGCGCGCGAGCCCCTGCGCCAACCCCGAAGGGGCCACTGTCACCCCAGGGCCGCCTAGCAGATCCCAACCGCCCTCGGCCACGCGCAGAGGCCAGCGGGGACCCCGCACCCGGATCCCGAGATGAAACCCAGAGGTTTCGGGGGTGACGCTAGGGCGGGCCGCCAGGGTCCCCGGGGTGAGGAGGGCTGGCGAGCAGGGGCGGGGGTGCCGGGCAGGCAGCTAGCGCAGGGGTGCGTGCCGAGAGCTCATTAGGCCGCCTGCCTGCAGCCGGTACCGAAGCCACAGCACCGCCCCGGCGCCCGCGGTAACGGGTTGACCGCTCTCACCCTGCCTGACCCAGCGGCCGCTGGCGATCTAGCCGGCCGGCTACTTCCGGGCTGGCGGCGCTGGGCGGGGTGGGGCGGGGCGCGCGGCGCGTGGGCGGCCGAACTGAGGCGGGTCCCTCTCGGGGGCGGGGCCGTAACGGGGCCACCGCCTCCCCCGCCCTCCGGGCCGCCGCCCCCCCGCCCTCCCTGCTGGCAGGTGAAGACCTGTTGGTTTCGCTGGGGCTAACTGTCCCGCTGTGCGCAGGCCCCCCTTTCCCGGAACCGCCGCAGGCCCAGGCGGAGGCGGTGGAGTTGGGTGGGCCTGGGCTCCCGGATGCCAGGGTCCCCACTGCGTGCGGACTGCAATCTCAGGGCGCTCCGGCGGACAGCGGCCCGGGCCCCGCCCACGCCTGCCAGACTGCTGAGGATGGCAACCAGCGCGCCCCGCGCCGGCGCCCGGGCGCGGCGCACCCTGCGCCAGCCGCCCGCGGCCCCTGCGGATGACGCGGATTGGAGTCCTTGGGGCTCCCCTTGTGGCCGCTGGGGGGTGTACAAGGTGCGGTCCCCGGGCGCCCGCAGGAACTGCGCGCCGTGGGCCCGGCTAAACCGGTCAGGCGGGCGCCGCAGGGCTTGGCTTCGCTTCCCCGACGCCGGCCCCGGTTCCCCACCCGCTCGGCTTGGGGGCGCTGAGCCGGCGCCGGGGTCGGGGCAGGCGGAAGCTGCTGACCTTTGGCGGAGGCCGCGCCGACGGTCGGCTAGGGTCGCGGCAGCCAGACCAGGGTAAAGCTGGCGGGGCCAAGTCCCAAGCTGCGATGAAGCCGGAAAACAACGGGATGCAGACATGAGGACTGGCAGGGGGCGGTCACGGTCACGGGGCTCACAGCACGCTTAGCACGGACCGGGAAACTGAGGCCTTGCCGCCGCAGGAGATCTGGGGTCTGCAGTGCCCGAGCCCAGCACTCTTGACTTCCAGAGGGATGGAGCAGGGCTGTTTGGGGGCACTCAGAGGTCTGGGCCTGGGGCTCAGCTAGCAGCCCCTCCTGGGTCTAGGGTCCAGGCTGCAGACGCCCCACTGATCGCAGATTTCCAGGGTACAGAACCGCGGGCGTCCAGACCCCACACCCACAGCCCGCCGATCTGAGTAACGCCTCTGGCTCTCATTAGCCCGCTCTGAAGATGAAACAGGCCTGAACCCCCATGCCATCGCTGCCAACTAGTTTCTCACCTTTCCCCGGGCTTGGCAGGCCCCTCCCCACCCCCTCCTGCTGCCCTCCAAATGGGAGGTGGTAGGGAGTGGTGAGGTAGAGAGACCTGGAAAAGAGGCTGTGTGCCCAGGGTGCCAAGGGGATGGAGACAGGGATCCACCCCAAGGGACAAGTCCAGCTGGAAAACCCAGTCCCAGCTTCTCTGGGCCCTGGCTCAACAGTTGACTCACAGGCGGCAATCCCAAACTACTTCCCTCTAGGTGCCTCAGTTTCCCCACCTATAAAATGGGAGTGATGACTTCGGCCAGAAAGGCTGTGGAGTGGGGCTGCCTGGCTAATTAAATCTAGGATGAAAGAGGCCAGGATGACAGCAGCCCTGGGAGGGAAGGCAGCTTGGAGGTAACAGGAGCCTGTCTGGTTTCCCTGTCTGAGGCCCAGAGGGTGCTGATAACTGCACATCCCCAGCCCTTATCACTTACAGGGAGGGAGGAATGATTATTAAACCCCTTTTACAGTTGAGGAGACAGGCTTCAAAGGGTCAGAAACTACAATGCTGGCTCCGGCCCCTGTTCAGCCTCTGACAGCCGCCAGCCTTTCTGAGCCTTTGCTCCTTGGGGCCCAGGGTCTGGAGGGAGGGAACCCACGTGTAGTTCTCGATGCTGTGGTGGGAGCATCCACATGGATTCACTGAGGCTTACAGCACCCTGAGGTACCTGAGGATGGGTACCATTCACAGAGAAGGAAAGGGAGGCCCAGCGGGGTGCAGTCACTTGCTCACAGTCACAGAGCTCCTAAAAGGTGGAGCCTGGGCTTCAGGCCACAACCCGTTGCTATCCCTGACTTGGCCCTCCACTCACACAGCTGCCCTCAGCCTTCACCTGCCTGCCCAGATGTCTGCGCCCCTGTGGGAGGGTGGTGCTGGTACTGTCCCTGGCACAGGCCAGGCATAACATTGAACTCAGACCACCAGCACTGAATCTGCAGTCAGCAAGCCCACCCGCAAGAGTGACCTCCCAGCCGAGAGGGCCCAGGTGTGGGCTGCAGCAAGTGGCTGAGCAGGGAACTCCCCACTCAATGCCCACAACTCATTTCTTCTCTTTCTGCTGAGTTTCCATCCTCCCCCAGGGCATCCCAGTTCTGTGGAGACACTAGGCACACTGAAAAAAGGGAAAGTCAGTTTCCTGAGGAGTCCTGAGTCTCAGTTTTCTCATCTGTAAAATGGGAGATACCCATCCTCACAGCACTAGGCACTGGGGATACAGAGATGCTTTAAAAAGAACACATCAATATGCAAATCCATAGAGAGCAGAATAGTGGGTTCCAGGAGCCGGGGGTTGGGAGGAATGGAGAGTGACTGCTAACGGGTACGGTCTTTCTTTTGGGGTGATGAAAATGTTATGGAAGACAGTGGTGGTGGTTGCACAGCTCTGTGAAGATACTAAAAACCACTGAATTGGGAATTCCCTGGCAGTCCAGTGGTTAGGTCTCCATGTTTTCACTGCTGAGGGTGCAGGTTCAATCCCTGGTCAGGGAACTAAGGTCCCACAAGCTGCACAGCACAGCCCAAAACAAAAAAACCAAAAACCAAAACAAAACAGAACACTGAACTGTACACTTTAAAAGGGTGAGTTTTATGGTATGTGAACTATATCTAAATAAAGCTACTAAAAATGATGTTAAAAGAGGTCCCTTATGTACAGAACTTACACTGGGGGAGAAAGGAACAAACAAGACAAATCAAAATTTCATGGAATAAGAGATTCTGCAGGGACTTCCCTGGTGGCGCAGTGGATAAGACTCTGCGTTCCCAATGCAAGGGGTCCGGGTTCGATCCCTGGTTGGGGAACTAGATCCCACATGCATGCCACAACGAAGAGTTTGCATGCCACAACTAAGGAGCCCGCGTGCCACAACTAAGGAGCTAGATGAGCCACAACTAAAGAGCCCTGGAGCAGCAACTCAGGAGCCAGCCTGCTGCAACTAAGACCCAGTGCAACCAAATAAATAATAAATAAATAAATATTTTTTTTAAAAGAGAGATGCTGCAAAAAAGAATAAGAAAATAGGGTAATGGGACAGTAGTGACTGGGGGGACAACGATTTAGCTAGGGCAGTCAGAGAGGACTCTTGGAAGAGGGCACATCTGGCTGAAACCTGAGTAACGAGAGAGCCAGTCATCAAGTGGGGAAAAGCCTTCCGGGCAGAGGGAGCAGCAGAGGAGAGGCGTGAGCTGGGAACAGGATTTGGCCAGTTCAGTGGACAGAGGGCCAGCAGTGTGGCGGGCACACACACAATCAGTGAGACGGAAGAAGTACGGGGTCAGGCCAGCTGGGGCCAGAGCACGCTGGGCCCCAAGGACTTTATTCAGTTGCGAAGGATCAGGGTGGTAAACGTGGAGACAGAGGTGTGGGAAGATTCCAGATGCTTTGGGAGCTGACAGGACAGAACTCAGCAAGAGATGGAGGTGTCAGTGTCACCCACAGCACGTCACAGTTTGTCAGGGGCTTTGCAGCCTCCACGGGGCTACTGTCAAACAGAGCTGGAAAGGCCACTATTTGAGCCAAGCAGAGGCCTCGGTGGCCAGGGGCACTGCCGGCCTGCTTTAAGGCTGAGTCCATTTTCAAGGGCTGCTAGGCTTCTGGGCAAAAGTGAATCAACAGCATCTCTTGACAGCTCTGAGGAGCAGAGCTGGAACTCAGAGCCCCCCGTACAGACGGGGCTTAGCCCAAGTCCCTGGAGACTAAGAGTCTGGGGCAGCCTGACTCTAGGTCCAGTGCTCTGTTCTGCTTGTCCTCTCAGCGCAGCTCCCAAAAGCCTTTCTGCCCCGAGCCGCCATGCTTCTAAGCCCCTGCCCCACCCAACCTCATCCCGGCTCTCCCCAGAAGCCTTCTCTGAGAACAGGAAGGAGTTGTTCCAAAACCTCTCCATCCGACTCCTGCCCTAGCTCTCCCTGGGCTACTTGGGATGGGAGCCGAGCTCTAAAGGCGGCTGCCAGCCACCAGCCTTCAGGGGACATGGGCCTTGCCTGCCTGCTAGGGTTCTGCTTCCTTCACACCCCTGTCCACTGTACCAGCGGCACGGCTACTATGTCACCTGGAATGAGCACTCATGGCTCTGCCTGCAGCTGGCCCAGGCCACCATCCCCTCCTTCTTGGACTATGACGGTAGCCTCCTCACTGGTCTCCCTACTGCCACCCTCAGCACCCCTCCCCTGGTGACACACTCCTCTCCCCATAGCAGATCCAAGGCTTCCCACCACACTGAGCCTCACATGACATGACCGACCTGCCTCTCCAGGGTCAGTTCCTACACCTTCCCATCCCCTCATGATCCAGCCCCCTCGCCTTTCGGTTCATCACACACACACACACACACACAGGCGCTGCTCACTCCTGCTCTGGGGCCTTGGGGCCGCCTGATGCATTTACGGATCAGCCTCTTCCCTGCCCTGCACAGCTGGCCCCTACCTCTCATTCAGATCTCAGCGCCCCTCTCACCACCCCATCACTAGTTAAATGTCCTGCAACACACTAATCATTTCCTTATTCTTTGTTTGCCTTGCATCATAGGATACCCAGTGCTAGCATAGAGTAGGTGTTCAATGAATATTTGTTGACTGAATTAAGGAGGGAGAGAACGATACCGAACTGGCACTGCGTGAACAGAGCAGAAGGTGCCTGCCCTCATGGAGCTCACAGTTCAGCTCAGTGTTTACCCAAGTTCACACACATTGTCTGGTTCATGAACCACAGGCCACACACTGGCAGCCCACGGGTCAAATCTGTCACACGAATGTATTTTATTTGACTCATTCCATGTTTTAAAAAAAGCTAAGTCAACATTTAAAAACTGGTAGATTTCGGAGAATTCCCTGGTGGTCCAGTGGTTAGGACTCTGCGCTTTCACTGCTGAGGGCCCGGGTTTGATGCCTGGTCAGGGAACTAAGATCCTGCAAGCTGTGCAGTGTGGCCAATAAATTAATTAATTAATTAAAAATTGGTAGATTTCACACATAAATCTGGATTTCTGGTTTCCAAATGGACAAAAGTGGCAACGTTGGGTTTCTGTGCTTGGATGACATGCTTGTCACTGGCCCTTTAGATAGTCACATTCTCCATGCCCCAGCCCCCATCTCTGAGAGTTAGTTGCCCTTTATCACACTGAACTTGCAGTATAGCTTTCCTCATAAGAAAGAAATTTGCTTCGTATTTATGTCTCTAGCAAATTTGGAGCATAAAAGGCTGAATGGGTCACATGAGTCAAGAAACATAGGATATTCATTCATTCAGCAAATATTTATTGACAACCCACTATGTGCCAGGCACAGCTGTAGATGCTGGAGATATAGCAGTGGGCAGCGTGGACGAATATCCCTCCCTCCTGGGGCCTCGATCTGTACACTGTGTAACTTTCTTTCCACAAGTGGAGACATTTGAGTTGTTCCCCCGATGAGAAAGACTGCCTGTGTCCAGCATCATCTACGAAACTTCATCAGAGATTCCACGAAGCCCCTACTGTGTCCCAGCCCCTGACAGGGTCTGGTACAACCAAAGTGCTCAATAAATATTTGTTGGGTGAATGAACTAAATTCACCTCTCTCCCTGGCAGTGTTAGTCAAACTTATTTGCCCAGGATATATTCAAAAGACAAGCAAGGGCTTCCCTGGTGGCGCAGTGGTTGAGAGTCCGCCTGCCGATGCAGGGGACACGGGTTCATGCCCCGGTCCGGGAAGATCCCACATGCCGCGAAGCGGCTAGGCCCGTGAGCCATGACCGCTGAGCCTGCGCGTCCGGAGCCTGTGCTCCGCAACGGGAGAGGCCACAACAGTGAGAGGCCCGCGTACCGCAAAAAAAAAAAAAAGACAAGCAAGTAGCAGGTGCTCGCTTAATGTCAACTGAACAGAAGGGTCCAGGGTAAGAGTGGAGGGTTGACAAGGGAAGCAGAGCCTGGGAAAGGAAGAGGAAGGGGGCAAACATTAGTGCCCCTGCCAGAGCTCACACCATCCTCACCGTGGACCCAAGAGGTAGATGATGGGATTCTCAGGTGACAGACGAGGATACAGCCTGGAAAGGAAAGCCCCTTGGCCAGACTCACAGGTTCCAGGAAGGAGCAGAGAAGGAGGCCCATCTGCCCCCAAAGTCCACACCTTCCCCACCCACCCAGGGAGTGCTCTACGGAAGTCCAGTGGGGGCATGTAAAGGGCCTCTGGAAGCCTCCCCCTTGAAAAACTACCTTCTTCCACTAGACGCCTGAAAGTCCACCATGAGCAGGCTGCTCCCTTCTGCCTCCTGACTTTTGAACTGTGTGAATTCACTTATCAGATTCATTTCCTCCTAATCTGTCCCAGCAAACATTTAATATGTGAGAAAGGTGTATGTGTGGTAGGGACTCCACGGGGGAAGGGGGCGAGCTAAAAAGAGGAAGGGGTCCCATGCCAGCCCTTACTAGTTCAGCTGGTAAGAGAAGCCCAGTGGCTGAAGTGGCACAGTCACTGTGCCTCATGGAGGCCAGCAAGTGCTCCGCAGCTTCTGAGGAGGATGGGGCCTCCGTCCAGGAGGCGGGTCCTGGGCCTGGGCAGAGCGTGATGAATGGCTGGAGTGAGGGGTCCCAGGCTGCGCTGGGCTCTGGGGCCACGACATGAGCTCCCTGACTGCCGTGGCTGCGGCCAGGCAAAGTAAGTTGGTCCTCTGCCCTCGGCTCACCTCCAGTCTTGCTGCACCTGAACTCCGTCCATTTGGGACAAAGATGAGGGCTCGCGGGGGGCGCGGGGGGCGGCGGTGTAAGCCCCAGTGACTAGGCGCTGGGGTCTTTCGGGGTCACGGTGGACTCGGAACGGTTTAAACGCCCTTTCCTCTACGAAACCTTCCACACTTGCCCGGCCAGAAGGCGGGCTCTCCGCTTTGTATTACGGCCCGGAGAGGCCCGGCCTGCCCGCCCACCGGCCTGCGCGTTCCTGCGGCCCCGCGTGCCTTTCCGAACGGTGCCGGCGACCAACAAATACCTCCCTCTGGGCTGAACCACGAATTGCTCAGCCAGGCGTTTGGAACCCGGGGCCGCCTGGGCCCGGGCCCGGTTCAACAAGTGTGGGCCGGGCCGCCCAGTCCCGCCCGACGGCTTCACGCCTCCCCAGGCGCCCGGGGCGCGCCGGGCCGGGCCCAGTCTGGCGAGTTCCACTTCATCGCCCTTAGAGCGTGCGAGCGCCGAATAACATTGCCCCTTCCCCTCCCTCCCCTCCTCTGCTCCCTTCGAAACTCCGAAACTCCGGTTGGCGAACGCTAGCACTCCAGCTGGGAGGTCCCCGGCGGGCAGCGGCTGGGCCGGCTGGGCAGCCGTGTGCTGGGGGCCCTGCGCCCGCCCCCTCCCGGCAACCCCGCCCAGCCCGCGAGGCCACCTCACCGGCAGCGGAATAGAAACCGGTTCGACAGGTAACAAATAGGTGGGTTGTCACCGTTATTTCCCAACGCATGCGCCGTCGCTCCCCGGGCCACTCCAAGCTAATTAGCTCAGATCAGCTCCCCCCCCCCTCCCCGCCCCAGCCACCAACACACGCCGCTGCGAGCCAATAAAGCGTGAACCCGTCCGTCCTGCTCGCACTTTAAGACTTCCCGAGCGGACGCGAGGGACGCCAGTCGCGCCGGGAGGAGCATACCTGCCGCTTCCCCCGCCGCCCGGTGCATCTGGCTGAAGGGGACCTCGTTCAGACGGAGGACGGCGACAGCTCCGCGGAGTTGAAACGGGCGCGCGCCGTCCCGGGCACGGCCTCCCGGCGCAACGCGGGACGCTTTGGCGACTTCTTCTCCGACCTGCTCCCCCATCCTCCACCCCCGTCCGCCTCCAGCCCGGCCAGGGAAAGGTGGGACGGCTCCGGCTCTAGTTACGGAAGCGGCCGGTACCCGGCGAGGAGGATTCGAAAATGCCTCGTGCGTTTCTAGTGAAGAAGACGTGCGTCTCCACGTGCAGGAGGAACTGGAGCGAGCTCCCCGACGAGGAGCGCGGAGAGATCTATGTGCCAGGTGAGGCGCCCAGTCCGCGCGCCCCGAACCCCGCGCCGCCGAGAGGGCGGCGGGGCCCCGTCGAGCGGCCGGCGTGCGGGGCGCAGTGGCGCGGAGCCCGGCGGCCGGCGCAGCTGGGGCGCCCGATTTAATGTTTAAGCGGCCGCTGCCCCGTTAGCCCGCGGCGCGGCCGACCCCGGGCGCGGGGGGAGGGGAGGGCAGGGCCGGCGGAAGGAGCGGCCAGGCGGGGGCGGGGGTGGGCGCGGGGGCTGCCAGGTGGGGGCGACAGCCGTTCCCAGGACCCCAGCGGGGCGGGGGGCAGGTCTGTCCGAGGCGCGCGGGCCCGCGCGGTGCCGCTCTCCCCTCCACCGGTCCGAGCCGCGGCGCAGGGGAGGCAACGGGGTGTGTCACCGCTCAGGCAACCTTCCACTCTCGTGCAGTAAATCCCGAAAGCCGGGACTTTTATGAGGCGGGAGGAGGGCACTGGAGCGGTGCCACTTCAGGGGGCAGGGAGCGAGCTGGAGTTTCTGCTGAGATTTGTGTAAATGTAAGAGAAGACCCAGAGTTGAAGCCACCTTCATTGACCTCTCCCTCTCACCCACAACACTGGCTGCCAGAAGGTCCCCGTGAGGGTCGGGCAGGCAGGAGCTCCGAGCCGTGGGGAGCGCGAGACTGTGGGGAAGGCGCCGAGCTGCACCCCACTAGCCCTGAAGACAAAGGTGGGATCAGCTCTCACCTCTGTTAGAAACGCGCCTCCTTCGACCTTGCAGAGGACACCACTGAGCTGAGAGGGGTTTTAAGGAGCCCACCCCACAGCCAGGGAGCAGCCCCGGGGGAAGCTGGGGCACCCAGTTCATTTTCGGAAGACGCCTTGACAGCGTGGGAGTCAACTTTGGATGAGTAACCCCAGTTGTTTCTTCCTCCAGGAGCATCTTCCACGTTATCCCCGAGACCTCTTCTGCGCCTTCGGTCCTCCCCCACCCCTAACAGAATCTTTGGTCGGGAGCCAGTTTCCTTCGGAACTCCCCTTCCCCAAGCCTTGGGGGTGGGGCGCGGGATGCGCTGAACACTCTGCCCAGCGCCTCCAACGGGGGAGAGGTTGTAATTAACCAACCGACTTTGACCTTTGATCTGCATGTTCCCCCTGCATCGCCCCGGGCCCTGTAGGAGAGTGGTGAAATAAGGGCGGTGAGGGGCCCTGTGAGGGCTGTTGCCTCGGTTTCTGTCCTGAATAAATTGTTGGAGACTGTGGGTGTAGTGGTGGCCTGACGACCGTCAGGATCCTACGGCCTACAGGGCTGGTGGGGTGTTTCACAGCTTAGCCTTATCTCAAGTGCCTAGGCCCGTATCTACAGCCTCCTTAAAAGGTCGGAATGCGCCAGTAGTCCTGATGACCCCAATGGGGAAACTGAGACAGAAAGGGAAGTGCGCTGCCTCCACACCCGGAGGCGGATCAGGGTGTGGGCCCAGGATTCTGTGTATAGTTTCTTGCTTCTCCAAGTTCCCTGGGGAGTTAGTGATCGGTGTTCCACCTCCAGAAGGGCCATGTGAGGGGGTGAGGGACGCGAGCCCCCTTCCTTGCTCCTGCCTCCTCCCTCACCTGTGTCTGACTTGCTGCTTAGCTGCTCCTTGGGATCTGATAAACCGAACTTGGACTGTGTTAAAGGTGAGCGGAGCCTTGCTCGAGACTAGTGTGCTGTTATTTTTAGTTTTACTTCACATCCCAATCAGTAACACATCATGTGTTGACTTTTACAAAGGACAAAGGAATTCCGTTGGTTCAAATCATTGACTTCCTTGCATCCTAGTGATTTTCCCCAGCACAGTTCTGGTGGCCATAGTGGGAGTGGCGGGGGAGACCTGCACCAGGGGCTGTCCCATCAGGGGCACAGGATGGTCTGTGCCACCTGCCGCTGCTGTCCCGGTGAGGGGAGCCGCTCACTCTGCAGGATCATCCCGGATGTAGGATGGGGTCTAACCTGGAGGTGCAGGTGACAGTTTGCCAGGGAGAGTCCTGTGGGCTCAAGCAAACAGTAGAAGTCAGAGAGCTTACTTTTGCCTCTCAAAGCCATGTGGCCCACTAGAGAGTTTTCCCACAGTTTTTGGAAATGAGAAAGGGAATGTTCTCGGGCCACGCTCGGGTGCCTCAGATGGCTAGAGGGTGGGGAGTGTGTTTTGTGGTGGCCTGTCCCCTGACTGGGCCATTCCATCACCAGCCGACCGTGACCCTAAGAGCCGGCTGGGCACGTTTCCTTCACCCCACCTCACAGACTCAGCACGTTGTGACTGAGTAAGTAAGCATTGACCCCATCCGGTCCCACTGGGAGAGGCACCGGGAGGGCTGGGGAATGAAGCGTTTGAGGTCTGACCTTCCCGCCAGGGCCCTCTGAGACCCTTAGAGCAGCAAAGAATGCCTGGAAGGAAAGTGTTTACTGACTGAAGATCCTGGGCCCCGGCCTGGCAGCTCTGACTCCAGGGCCCCAGTCTGACCAGCACTCCAGCCTCTTCTCTGAGGCACAATTCTAGAGGTTTCCCACCCTCAGTCCCCTGGGCCTCACTCTCCTCCCAAAGCTGAGGGAAAAGCCCAGAAGTGGGCACAGGGCCTGGAAGGCTGCAGGGGTGGGCAACGGCACCACTCACGCCGGGAGCACTGAAAGGGTTCATGGTTAAGTTGCCACCTGTTTGGCCCTCGAGCCCCTGCCCTCCATCTCCCCTGGCATTTCTCCTTCGTTGTGTCATTATTGACTGTGGAGTGCAGGGACTGATGCTGGTTTCTTGACGATGAACCCAGGCCCCTGTACCCAGGGGCTAAATTCCATCTCCTGGACCTAAGGGGAAGCTCCAGGAACGGGGAGGAACGGGGATGAAGCGGGGTTCTCCAGGCCCCTGCTGAGAGGAATCTCAAAAGGCCAGGAAGGCACTGGAGGGCAGACCAGGCCTGGAAGCTGAATGACATGCTCCAGCCATAAGCATCCTGGGGCCTCTTCCCTACCCCCCATCAAAACCGCCCCCCCCCCACCTCCCCACTTCAGACGGAGCGTCTGCCGTCCGTTCTGCCAGTTCAGCAGCACATGCCTACCCCAGGGGGGCAGCCAGGCTGAGGTGCGCGGGACCGGAGCGTCCTCAGCCTGGCTCTGACTAGGCAGTGTGGGCACCTGGGCAGCTCTTTCTGGGCCGAGTTAGAAAGGCTGAGAAAGTCAGCTTTGGGCCCCAGAGTACACATGTAGGGGCGCGAGGGAGTGGAGTTGGGGAGAGATTATGCCTCTGACGGTGATCATTCTGATTCCTGGGAAGTGCTGGCAGTGAGGGACGCGTCTGCCGAGCTCTCCAGGGCAGCAAGGCTGGGAGGGTAGACAGCCAGCCCACGGATGGGTGCGGTGGGCTAGATGGGACTCCTAGCTGTCCCACAGGGTGCCGTCACCCAAGCTGCCAGGCTGTTTGTCCCTAGCTTGGGTGACCTGAGGCAGAATCCTGCCAGACTGTTTGTCCCAGAAAGAGAGCAGGTGAGGCCGAGTCCTCTGGGCACAGGGAGGACGGGAGCAAAGCACGGCCATTGTTGATGTCAGGCTTTTCTTTAACTCTCTTCATGCTCAGCAAGTATCGTGTGGCGTCCCACAGGGGTGCCAGCCCCGTGCTGCACGGGAGGGAGGGAAGGAAGGACACAAACTCAGTACGGCCCCGCCGGTTGCAGCGTCCACCCTGGTGTGAGGCTGAGGTGCACGGGGTTGGTTAACTTCACTGTGGACGCGGTATGAGGAACGGTTGGGAAAGGGGGGAAAGATCCTGCCTGAGAGAAGAACTTGGCGTTCACAGAATGGAAACGACAGGCTGAGAGATGGGCCCGTTGTGTTTCCAGGGCTGCCCAGCTCTGCCAGTTGGCTGGCACTGGCTCCCTTTCAGGCCCCTGTTAGCTGACCTGGGGGCCGGAGGAGACGGGCACAGGGGACCCTGCCCTTCCCGATAAGGGTGCAAGACCGCCTAACGCCAGCCTGGGCTGTGCTGACACACTGGGCTCCCCCGCCGCCCCCCTGCCGCTTCCAGGTCGGCAGCAGCCCCAGCCCGTGGCTAGGTGTCCTCACGTCTGCTTCACCCGCTCTCCCCAGAGAGCCTAGGGCCAGGCCTCGTGCCCAGCCCTGGCCTGAGGCCTTGGATAGGGTAGGACCTGGCACCCTGTCTGGTATTTGGGCCAGGAGCTTTCAATCCAAGAGAGAGGGGACTTGCTGAAGGCCTCGGGTGGGAAGCTGCTCTGGGCCCAATGCCCACAATGTCATCCAGGCGGAGGCATGTTGAGCCGACAGAAAGGGAACCCGTGCAGCCCCTGAGGGGGTAGGGAGAGGGCCTTGCCACACTCCTCAGCTGCGGGCGGGCGATGAGTAGCCACAGCGGCCGCCACCTTGCCGGAAACATCTAATTAGGGGACAGAGAGTAGCACAAGCAGGGCCCAGCCAGTTCTGCTCGCTGCCGCTCGGTGCCGCCCAGCGATAGGCGCGGCGGCAGGACCACGCTCCGGGGGTGGCAGGAAGACGGGTTTGGCGGGGCTGGTGGGATGAGGCAACCGTCCCCACCCTGACGGCCTCACCTGCCCCTCTCTCGGGAAAAGTGGCACAGGGGCAGAGCAGGCAGGCCCGCTCCCTGTCCCCAGTTCCCCAGCACTGTCATCTCAGGGCTTCTGCGGAACGGGAGAGGCAGGCCTGCGAAACAGTTCCCCCCCTAAACCTGCTTAGGTCCTCAGAACCCTCACCATGGACCCCACTCTAGTGGAGGCAGGGAGCCAAGGGTGACAACTCGTTTGAGCGCAAACTGGTTAACCCTCACCTGTTGTCACTCTTCCCTCTGCTGCTTCGTGTGCAGGCTCTGAGGCCCAGCTCCAGCTTTTGGGAGCCTTGATCTCGCTCTCTGATACTGAAAGACGGAAGCGGGTAGAGGTTCCTGTTTGTCTCTACCTGGATTGAGAAATGGAAATTGTCATCCAGTTTTGAATTCTCAGCCAGGATCTCCAATAGCTGGTAATCCGGCATAAATTGAAGCCGCCAACACTCTGACACGCCCACCCTCTGGCAGCCCCCATCCCTGTACACAGACGGCCGTCACTGTGGGAGGATGGGGGCGGGGGGGGGCCTCTGAGAGCTCCAGCCTGACGTCCAGCCGTCCAGGGCTTGGAGAGAGGCCAGGCCAGGGCCAGGTGCTGGTGAATCAACTCCCGGAATGAGGTGGCACGTTAGAGTCCCCGGACGGACAGACAGACGGCGCCAGTGCCAGCAGAACGGGTTTGGGTGGCGGGCAGGCGCATTCTTCCCGTCAGAACTTTGTTGTGTTTGAAGGGGGCGAGAGCGGAGGCCTCTCCCGAAACTTGGGTGCCTTCATATTCGCCCCTTCTCCATTGGTGTGTCCTCTGCTTCCAGCCTTGCCCGCTGCATCCTGCCGGGGGCCGCCCCTCCCTGGGACCCCGTCCACTGTCGGGGGCTGCAGGCGCAGGGGCCGCCTTCATGGTTCTGAGGCCCTAAGTCAACCTGCTGAGTCCCTCTCCCTGAAGCCCACTCATCCTTTCCTTCCTGTGCCCCTCTTGATTTTTCCTTCTGAGGCTTGGAAAATGTCCCTAGCTTAGCCTCTTCGGGAGAAAAATACTGACCAAACCGTAACATTAGATTGTTTGCCTCAGCTCTGGGGGTTTGAGACTTGTCTCCTCTGTGTCACTCGGGAGAGCTCCCCTCCTGTCTAGTCAGGACGAGGGCCAAGCCTCTCCGGCCCTGTTTAGCGTGAGGTGTCTGCCGTGGGGAGCAGCGTGTCAAAGGGCTGCCGGTATTGCTGGTATCACTGCAGCTGCCGTGCGAAGGGCGGGAGCCCAGCCCTCAAAGCGCCACAGCGACCAAGCAAGTGAGCGGTCCCTGCTCTGGGCGAGGCTTGCGTAACAGCCGGGCAGGCTGCCCAGGAGACTGTTAGGCTGCATCCACCTGCTGCTCCCTGACCTCCTCCCTGCCCTGCCCCACCCGGCCTGCTCACCTGCTAAGCTGGGCCAGCGGGAGTGGGGAGCCTGGAGCCCCAATGAGCTGCAACGTCAGGGACAGACCACCCGGAAGGAGAGAGGGGTTAGGACCACCTGTTCCCCACGGCCAGCAGCTAAATCTGCCTGGAAGAGAGGCTCAGAGTGGCGCAGACCACCGGGACCCTTCTGGGGCAGGGATGAGTCCCTGGGTCCAGGGCCTCCAGTGGTGCCCTTTGTCCCTGCAGGAGCGTGGATGAGGCCTGGAATCCAGAGGGACTGGCCCAGGTGGGGCAGGCAGACAGCTCGGGAAGAATAATTGGCAGGGCAGCTTTGGTCCTCCCAGTTCCGCTAAGACACAGATTACTCAGCGGGCAGGCCTGTGGGCCGTGGAGCTTGGCTGGCGTCACCTGTAATTACCTTAATGGGGTGGGGGGAGGGAGGTGCGGCATGCAGTGGGCTGGGGGCAGCCCTGCTCTGCCACATGCCTGCAAGGGGTGGGACGGCGGCTCCACGTTCCAGCCAGCTAACCGCCAGGGAACCTTCCAGAAATCCCACGCAATCCCCTTTTCTCCACCAAGCCCCTCACTTGGCTGTTCTTCTCTTCCCAGTCAGCCTAGGCTTCTGCCCACCACAGCCCTACAGGGAGCCAGAGCCATCAGTGGCCGAACCCCCTTCTTGCCCCCTGGCTTTGGACATGAGCCTTCGGGACTCCAGCTATAGTGTGACCCCAGGACCCTGCGTGGTGGCCCAGCTGCCCTCGGAAGACACGAGCCGCCTGGCAGACCCACAGAGCAGGGACCATGGCTTCCTGCGCACCAAGATGAAGGTACTGACCCTCACGCTGTCTCCAACGGCCAGGGGCACGTGTATCCTCCTGGGTCCAGCCCACGAGACGTGGCACAAATGAGACTTAAGCAGAGATTGGCCTTGGATCTGGGTCTAGGTTTCTGCAGAGAAGTGAACCTCACTGGAGCACGGACGGGGGTGGCAAAGAAGAGAAGTGGGTCGGAAGTGAGAATGCCCTGCGCTGGGAAGAAGCAGTGAGGTTCCAAAGACGCTTAACTCTTTGGAGTCCTCTCTGGGGGTTGTTTAGCTTCATTTCGGGTCTTGAGGGGAGGCACCTCTTTACACAGAAGTCCTAGGAGAAGCGGGGAAGCGTGAGCCTGGCTCTGCAAGCTGGCCTGGGCCTGCGTCTCCGCCGCCTGAGAGTGAGGTCTGGAGTCTGCTCGGTGGTCGACTCCCTGCGCAGGTGCCCGGCGGCAGTCTCCGCCTCGCCCAAGTGTGTGCTTCCATCCCGGAGCCTTGCGTCTGGGGCGGGGCCTGGTGAGCGCCCCCTGCTCAGCAGCAGAGGCAGGAAGGAGCTCACAGGAATGCCCCTGCTTTCCAGCCTGCGAACAGCAGGGCTGTCTCTGGCTGGGCCTGCATTCCTGAAATCTCCGGGATCTGGAAGCAGTCATCTAGAGGAAGGGCTCCCGTGGAGCTTTCCTATGAGCCAAAAGACTGAAGAAAACTGGCCGTGCAGTGCTGTTCCCGCCTCTCTTAACTGCGGAGGCCACATGTTGTAACCAGAGGGGAATCGCCAAGACATGTGCTGGGCGGTTGGCTGGGGAGCTGACACAGTGCCCCTGATCCCCGAGGGCCCTTCCTCCCACCCCTTAATCCCAGTGGCTAGGGAGCGCGTGGAGAGAGCGAGCAGGGGGCACAGGACAGCAGATGTGCCAGAGGAGCGAGTCCTGACCCCAAAGGGCTTGCTTAGCTAGCAGCAAGGCATTTACCCGGTGCCCGAAGGCATGGGGTGATGGGGTGCGCCCGGTGCCCAGGGAGCTTGGGAGGAGTGGCCAGCGACAAGGCCACCACAAAGCACAAGTAACCTCTGAACATTCACAGAGGTAGGGCGTTGAGGCCACGTCTCCACTTCTGAACAGCTGTTCCATAATTACAAAGAAAATGAAAAATGTTTGTAAGCAAGAGAGTCATCAGGGTGGCAAAGGGACTCAGACCAGACCGCGTCAGGCTCAAGGAAGGCCAGGGGCGGGGCTGGCCTGCGAGGGGACTCCAGGCTCCTAGCGGTGGCCTCAGCCTGGGAAGGCTGCACGGAGACCGCGTCGTGGGCACTCTTCCCTGTCCTAAGGCTTAGAATGGGAACAGAGGGCAGAAACTACAGAGAAAGATTTGGCCTCAGTGAAGGGAGGACTTTCTAACAGGTAGAGTTACTGAATCGGGCTGTTTCTGTGGGGAGATGGCCACAGATGGTAAGGAAGGGGCTGGGTGGCGGCCCTGCACAGAGACTCAGGAGCCCAAGAGGAGGCGGACCTTCCTTCCAGCTCCACCACCAGACCTCTGGGAGGTCTGGGCACAGAGGTGTGGCCTCTGGGGTGGGCACCGCCCTCCTCACGTGGCTGGGGGCTGGTGTGTGTGTCCTCGCAGTCTGCCACCTGCAGCCCCAACTCCTGGGTGTCCGTCACAAACCCCGTCCTCGCCCACAGGTGACTCTGGGGGACACTCCCAGTGGAGACCTGTTCACCTGCCACATCTGCCGGAAGGCCTTCACGTACCAGCGCATGCTGAATCGCCACATGAAGTGTCACAACGACGTCAAGAGGCACCTCTGCACCTACTGCGGGAAGGGCTTCAATGACACCTTTGACCTGAAGAGGCACGTGCGCACCCACACTGGTAAGAGGAGCCCGCCCGGCGGAGGCCGCGGCCGCGGCCGCAGTGCTGCTGTCCTGGGCCCTGGGGGGCCTGGGAGCTCTGGGCAGACGTCCTCCGCGGTTCGCTGGGGAGCTGGAGTCGGGCGGGCCTCCGGGCGCTCCTCTGCCACGGAGTCGGGTCCCTGACGCCGGCACTGCCCTCCCCGCAGGCGTGCGGCCCTACAAATGCAGCCTGTGTGACAAGGCCTTCACGCAGCGCTGCTCTCTGGAGTCTCATCTCAAGAAGATCCACGGCGTGCAGCAGAAGTACGCGTACAAGGAGCGGCGGGCCAAGCTGTACGTGTGCGAGGAGTGCGGCTGCACGTCTGAGAGCCAGGAGGGCCACGTCCTGCACCTGAAGGAGCGCCACCCTGACAGCCCGCTGCTGCGCAAGACCTCCAAGAAGGTGGCCGTGGCCTTGCAGGACACCGTCACCTCCCTGCTGCAGAGCAGTCACCACCTCTGAGCAGTGGTGCCCTGACTTGGGCAGCCCCGAGAAGGCGAGGGCCGCCTCCCTGCCGCCCGGCCAGCCCGCCCTCTGCGGCCTCCTGCCGGAGCGCCGGTGACCTGGCGTGGAGCCCGTGGGCACGCATGCTCGCTCGGGCCGGTGCTGACCTCTGCTCGCATTTGCGTCGGTGTTTGCGGGGCAGAGGCCGCTCTGAGCCCGGGCAGACATGTGTAACTGTGGGGCGGGGCGGGGCGGGGCGGGGCGGGGCGGGCCAGGGCTGCCTTCGATTTGAAGCAGCTCGGGTCCAGAGACAGGACTTCCTTCCCAGAGGAGGTACGTGAGGGCGATCCTGTCGTCCTCTGCTTTTGGAGCAGCGGGGGGATAGGGGGCTGCTGGTCCCCCGTGGACGGCAGAGTCAGGCGCCCCGGCAGAGGGCACCCCTGCAAACAACAGCCGTGCAGGAGCTGGCGGCGGCCCGCCCAGCCATGTTCCTCGCGCTCAGGGCTGCAGGGGCGCTGCAGGGCGCTGCTCTTCGACAGGGAGATGCACGCGTGTGCACAGCCGTGGACGTGCGCGCACGCGGGAGGCCTTGCCATATATCACCTCATTTTTAAAAAATCAACTACAAGGTGCCAAGGAGGTTTTATTTCCTTTTTTAAAAGATGACATATGTACAGATAGTAATATATATTTTTGGTGCCAATGGCGACTGTTTTAAGAGAGGGTGGAGCTGGCTTTTCTCCTCCCCACGCAGTTCTATTTATCCTGGACGTTTCACGCCTCCTCTGCGCCTTGGCTCTGGGGTGGCTGCCCTGACCCACCCCTCATACCTCCTGAGATATTTAACCTAAGACTTTCCTCCAGCCCTGCCTGGAGGAGGCTGTACTGCTCTCTGTTCTCCCTCTTCTGCCGGGACAGCCGTCACATCTTCTGCTCTTCCCTCCCCGTGTCTCTGCCTCCCTCCCACATCCTTTGAAGGCAAGTCTCAGGGTGACCGAGAGCCTCCTGATAACAGACCTTTTGCGGAACAACTCACCATTCCGGAGATCTGGGGTGGGGGGTGTCCAGCTGCGGCCGCAGGGGTAAGCCAGTTGGGGTGACGAGTCTGTGATGCGCCCAGAGTCCACTGCCTGAAGTAACAGCAAGAGTGCGGGGCCAGGCTGCGAGGCCTGCTCTTTTCCTGGGAGAGTCAAAAACCCTAGGACGGGAACAAAAAAATTGGGACAGAATAATAACCAGACATATCAGAAACTTCTAGAGGGAGGACAGTATTAGATGATTAACAAGTTACATTTGTAGCCCTTTTTCTGAATGTTTGGCAAATGGCGAGGCTGGGTCTTGCGCACCTAAGGAGGGAGCCACCCCTGGGCTGGTTGGCTCCACCTGAGGGACTCTGCCAGGCTCCCTTGGCTGGGCTGGGCTCCCTGCTAAGAACACGAAAGGGGTGTGGGTCGAAAGGGAACGACGGGCAGGGGCTGGAGCCAGCCTGCCAAAGAACGAGAAGGCACACTCGAAAGAGAACACAGAACAGAGCGGGTGAAGCCGCCCCGTGAAGCCAAAGCCCAGGCGGAACCAGCCTTGGCCTCTCCTGCCCGGAAAGAGCAGCGACTGCACAGTCCCCGGATGCAGGGAAGGAGCCTTCTCTGACCTCCCTCAGAACGTGTATGGATTGTTCTGGAAGACTCTCGTTTTAGTTTACTTTAGAGTCTGTGGGAGCTGCTGTATTCTGGAAGGTGTATAGCATGAACTAACATTCTCTGGAAGCCTTGTCTTGTTTACATTTCTGTATCCCTGTGTTCATTGCCTGTTCATTGTTCATCTCTGTGTTCATTGCCTATCTGAGGCAGTCACAAAGCTCTGTGCTGTCTGTTTTATAACTTGCCCCTCAACTATCAAAATAAAGAACTACCATTTTCTGTGTTTCTGCTTTTTTGTTTAATAGACCTCGTTTTTCCACCTGCAGGGAAATTAATCAAAACAATTGATGCATTCTAGTCAAAGCTTTACCCTTTTACAGGTAGCGATGGCCCTGGTCAAGACAAGAGCCTGCTAGATCAAGTGGCCTGCCGACCCCAAGGCCGCATGTTCTGCTCTTCACGGTGGCATCAGGCCTTCCCCTGGCTCCTGCAGCCTGACTGACTCGTGGCTGTCCTCCAGCGGGTGCAGTTACTTGGGGTCCAGTCTCTTCCCCACACCCTGCCAGGACCACAGGAGGAAGAGCCACATTCCTAAATAGTAGGGCGCAAAATTCCCGTCACTTCTGGGTCAGACACCTAGCTGTAGGGATGGTCACACCTGCACAGCACTTGTTCTGGGCCAGGCACACTCGTGTTTCATGCGTATTAGCTCCCTTGACCTTCCAGCCACCCTATGAGATGGGGGCTGCTCCCCACACCCGGCAGAGAGGTTAGGCAGCTGGCCCCAAGTCTCATGACTAACTAGTAGTGGAGCTGGGCTAGAAACCAGACAGCCCGGCTCAGGGTCTGTGCTCAGAAGCACGCGCACGCCGCCAACGGAGAGGCCGGCAGATGGCCTCGCACCTCTAGGCAACTCAAAGTAGAGGGAAACTTAGAGATTACCTGGCCGTGCCCATCACCTACCCAGGATCGCTTGGGGAGACCTGATCACTCTGGGGACCCTGGTCCCCGAGTCCCAGTTCAGCGTTTTTCCGTCACGCCCCCGCCAGGGGTGGAAGAGGGGCTGCCAGGCCTGGGCCCTTGGCAGATGTCCCGGGAGGCGTGAGAAGAGTTGGTAGTCCTGCTGCTGCGAGGAGAAAGGAAAACATTGATCTGACCTCTAAGGCTCCCTGTGTGAAGCCAGAGGACTGGAAAGGGCCCCTACCCCTCCCTATGTCTCTTTAAATAGCCGGGCGCAGAGGATTTCTCTTTATCTCCAGAAGCCTCCCAATGTGAAAGGCAAACCAAATCCTATTTTTACATGTCCCAAGATGGGCAGAGCCCATTGTTGGGAACCCAGATGATTAACTGCTATGCAAACTTTAGGGGGAGCAAGCTTTCCAGGAAGCCAGGGATGGGGGTGGGGAGAGCGTCCCCGGGGCTCCCTCTAAGCCACTCCTCAGAAGGGCTCAAGGACGGGACACCACTCAGACGGGGTCAGGCCAGCAGTCACATTTTGAGGGCCCGTAATGATCTCAGGACTCTGCAGGATGGGTGCCGTGAGGGAAACGAGAACGGTGTGGGTACCCTCTGCTGCCTGGGAAATAGGCGGCAGCCCCGCAGAGGGAAGAGATTAACGCAAGTCAATGGATAACTAAGGGTAAATGGTGTGGCCAGACTACGAAGGCTGTGGAACCCAAAAAGGAGGCTTTTGCATTTGAAAGAATGAAGACTTCTTGGAAGAGGTGGGGTTCAGCTGGGCTGGAAAAATGGGAGAGTCTGAATAGAACAAAAGAGGAGGGGAGGGCTTCCCTTGGTGGCGCAGTGGTTGAGAGTCCACCTGCCGATGCAGGGGACACGGGTTCGTGCCCCAGTCCGGGAGGATCCCGCATGCCGCGGAGCGGCTGCGCCCGTGGGCCATGGCTGCTGAGCCTGTACGTCGGGAGCCTGTGCTCCGTAATGGGAGAGGCCACAACAGTGATAGGCCCACGTACTGCAAAAAAAAAAAAAAAAAAAGGAGGGGAGGTGTTTCAGGGAGGGAAAGAGGAGGATCCGACCCAGAAGAGAGGAGGTGTGGGCTCTGGGGCCGCAGGGGGCCTCACCTGTCCCACCAACAATCCGACAAGCCGGATGTTGTCATTCATTCAGCCACACCACTGTGTCTTTTTGAGCCCTGCCCAGGTGCCAACAAGAACTGGTAACAAAATAAAATTCTGAGAGACAGGAGAGCTGGCGGGGACCTAGCAAGACGTCCGGCCGAATGGAGGATGGAAGGAGGGTCCTATTTATACAACTAAAGGCAAAGCAACCAAGTGCATGGTGGGGGGAACTTTACAGCGTCAGGAAGTGCTGTGAAGGTTTAGACTTTATATTTTTATGTATTTTCTAATGTTTTTACAATGAGTATATATAATTTTTACAATCAGAAGAAAATCGAGTTATAAAACAATTCAGGGCTTTTAGTCAACTTGAAGTTCAACACGTCACTGGGGATGGGGCGGCCCAAAGAAGCACTAGTGTGACCCTGGATGACACCAGAAGCGTGGCGTCAACAGCCGAGACTGCCCTCTGCCTGCCTGGGCCTGTCACCAGTCCGTGGGTGGCAGGAAAAGAGCAGTGACGGGGCTTGAGGCGCTGCCCTGTCTGGGGCCATCTGTGTGGCCTTGGGCGAGTGACCTAACTCCTCGGTTTCCTCGTGTATAAAATGAGGTGGGTTCCCAAGTTCAAAGACCCTTTCTGTTCTAAAGGCTTCATGTCTCTACGCCCCCATCTCAATAACACCCTTGAAGAAACTCCCTGACAAACTGCAGCAGCGATGAGGAAGTGTAGAAGGCTGAGAAGGTGGCTGAGGGAGTGGGGAGCACCACCCACACGGCTGCCGGCTTGAAGCAGGGAGAGAGGCTCATTCCGGTGGATCCAGCGGCCCAGCGGGCAGAACCTGGGCGGAGAGGTGAGCATCAGAGGGGCACAGCCTCCACTGCAGGGAGCCCTGGCACAGCTTAACGTGGGGCAGTGGCTTGGGAGGGAGGCGCCCCGGGCATTGTCACTGGGGGCTGCTGGCTGGGGCTGGGAAGCCATTCGTTAGGAATTTCTACAGGGACTCAGTAGCGGGGCTGAAGGCTGGACAAAATACAAGACTTTCCAGCCATGAAATTCTAAGGGGTCAGGCAGTGGCCGTGACTTCCAGGCCTAATCCCCATTCCCAAGAAGGCAGAGGCTGGGTGAAAATGCTAATGAAGAGAATGGAATGGAAAAGGAAACCCTGGAAGGGGTGGACCAGTTGGGAGGCTGGGCTTGGGGGGTGAAGACCTGGTCTTGGAAGGGCTCCCCTGGCCCGTCCTCTGGGGCCACCCAGGACAAGTCCACTCCCTCAGGCGGTGGTGGTCTCGCCTCACCCAGGATGTTCCGCCCTCTTCATGTCCAAGACCAATCTGCCCTCCGCTCCTCATGCCAGCCCCCTTCCCCAGTTTCTAGAGTCTGTTTTGATCTTCCATCCCTCACCCCGCAGGCCAACAGCTCCCAGCTTTCTGGTTCCTGTAACCCATCAGTCAGGCCCTCTCAGTCCTCCTCTGGGACGGTCCTCCTTGCCTGGCAGCCCCACCCGCTGGGCGGCAGGCTCGCTGACACGTGGGGACTCGGGTCCGACACCGGCAGGTGTGGAGATTCTGGTCCTGGGCAAGGGTGGTACATTGAGAATTATAATGTGTCTTCCAGGTTCTGTTTCCTGAACGTAAGAGCTCCGTAACAAGGGGCCGATTTCCTTTGTTCCTCGCTTGTTCTCTCTACATAAAATGAGAATGCTTCTACCCTACCAAGCTTTCAAAGAAGAACACAAAGCGGGCGTCTAAAAACGTGTTCAGAGATGTGAGGGGTAGGGAGCCAGCTGCCCTGTGTAACCGGCCTGAATCTCAAGCAGGAGTACCCGCCTGTCCTCAGAATTCGCCTGTGACTTAACGCTTGAGGGCGGCTGGCACGCCCCCTTCTCCCCCCCCCCCCCCCCCCCACCGCGGCGGAGAGGAAGCCGGGGCAGGGCTGCTCGGGGCAGAGAGCAAGTGAGCTCTGCGTCCAGGCTGCGGGGCCACACGGCCTGTGAGGTGACAGCAGCACGGGCTCGTTCCACAGAGTAAAGGGACCACGGCATTCAGGGTGGGAGACCAAACCGAGAGAGGCTCAGGGCAGTGAGAGATGCCAGGGTCACTTACTGCTAAGCCCCGTGCTCCTGGAGTCTCGTCACTGGCCCTTTATATTATTTATTTATTTTTTAACGTCTTTATTGGAGTATAATTGCTTTACAATGGTGTGTTAGTTTCTGCTGTATGACAAAGTGAATCAGCTATACATACACATATATCCCCATATCTCCTCCCTCTTGCGTCTCCCTCCCACCCTCCCTAGCCCACCCCTCTAGATGGTCACAAAGCACCGAGCTGATCTCCCGGTGCTGTGTGGCTGCTTCCCACTAGCTATCTGTTTTACGTTTGGTAGTGTATATATGTCCATGCCACTCTCTCACTTCCTCACAGCTCACCCTTCCCCCTCCCCGTGTCCTCAAGTCCATTCTCTCCGTCTGTGTCTTTATTCCTGTCCGGCCCCTAGACACCGGCCCTTTAATAGCAGCTAATCACCGCCTGCATTTATTGAGCTTCTACTACTTGTGGTGGGCAGGCACCAAGCTGCGCTTCCCTCTGACGTCACTAATCCCCACAACCACCCTGGGAAGTAGCTATTATTGTTCTTGTTTTTAGACAAAGAAATTGAGGCTCAGGGAGATTAAATGTCTTGCTCAAGGTCACACAGGCTCCAGTCTGAGGACTCTCAGGCTGGGGCTCCCGTGTCTCAACCCTCCATGATCATGAGATGGGAGAGCCTTTCCCTTCATGAGCACCTACTCTGTGCCAAGCCCCGTGCTGAGGCGTTGGGGATGCAGAGACGAATGAGGTCCCTGCGCTCCGGGGTTTACCTTGCGGTGGGGGAACCGCACTAGTGGGTGAGAGCCGAGGAAGCAGGAAGGGGCCCAGGCTGCCCTGAGCTCTGCCCTTGAGCAGAGATCTCTGAAGCTCCCAAACGACCGACCCCACGTCCGCAGAGTTGAGGAAAGAGAAAGGAGGGAGAAACCCTGACACGGACGAGCCCCCACTACCGTCTGTCTGGTGATTTGTGCACTAGCCCCGAGGTCTAGACTCTCCAGATGAGGAAGCGAAGCCTAAACAGGTTAACAAGAGGCCAAGGCCATCGCGGCCACCTGGCAGAGCAACCACTGCGCAGGCACCCGACTGGAGCTCCCCAGGCTCTCACTGACGGGCA